TTATGGTGGTTCTCAATACCTCCAGACCAAAGAAAACGGGAGCACAAGGATTCGATTGCTTTGATGCAGCCACTTGGAAGCTTGAAAGTAGTAATCCAGAAGACAACACAGCCAGTAATCACAGAGGATAATAATTGTAACCTGCCAGCGAAAGAGAGCGACCTCACTGCCCAACTAGTAAACTTCCCTTTTATCTTCTCCACAAGAGGGGAATACTCTGAAATTTTCAGTTTCCTACACATTAAAGGCAGTCCCAAGTAACGAATTGGCAGGCAAGCTTGTGTGAAACCATAATTTGCAATAGCCTGCGATTCAACCTCATTTACTCCAGCCAAGAATAATTCTGTTTTTTCTCTATTCATGTTCAGCCCTGACCAACCCGCAAAATCATCCAAAGTCTCATTAATTCCATGAAGGGAAGAGCTGCCGCCATCGAAAAATATCATCACATCATCCGCAAACATCAAATGAGAGATATTCAAGTTTGATGTTTTAGGATGATAGAAGATATAGCCTGAGGAGTACCTAGATAAGAGAAGCTTCGAGAACACCTCCATAGCCAACACAAAGAGGTAAGGCGACAAAGGATCCCCTTGCCTTAGCCCCTTTGTACTCTTGAAATAACCACCAGAAGCACCATTCACAGAGATAGAGAAGGTCGGGGTAGAGATACACTCAACAATCCACAAAACAAACCTCTCTGGCAGATGAATTCCTCTTAGAGTTGCAGCAATAAAATCCCATCTTACTGAATCAAACGCCTTTCGTAGGTCCACCTTTAACATGCCACTTGGATCCACATTATTTCTGTTGTAGCCATGAACAATCTCGGTCGCCAGCAGAACATTCTCAGACAATAGTCTCCCAGGGATAAATGCAGATTGGGAAGGAGAAATGAAATCAGGCAGCAGGGCCTTTAGCCTATTAGCAAGAAGCTTTGAAACTACCTTGTAAAGAGTGTTAAGACAAGATATCGGCCTAAAATCTGAAGGAGAAGCAGCATTGCAGATCTTTGGAATCAAAACCAGGGTAGTAGCATTCCATTGCTTCAGCAGCTTTCCCGAGATGAAGAATTCCTTTATTGCAGCAAGGACCTCACCACCAACAATGTTCCAGAGACTGATGTAGAATTCTGCAGGGTAACCATCTGGACCGCTAGACTTATTTCTAGGCAATGTGAAAAAAGCCTGCTTTATCTCATCATCAGAGAAAGGAGCAGTCAACGACCTCTGCTGGACCAGAGAGCACCTAAAATCCAGCAGCCTGGTAATATCTGCCTGAATGAATAAAGGAGGAGAGATAACTGGACAGAGCAGCGTTTCAAAAAAATCAACACAAATTTTTTGAATTCCCTGAGGAGTCTCTACCTTTACCCCATACTCATTCAAAAGATAGTGAATATGATTCAAGGAAATCCTGCTATTCACCATCCTATGAAAGTATCTAGAGTTGCAGTCTCCATCACCTAACCAAGTAATAGTTGACCTTTGCTTGTAAAAACGCTCCTCAGCTAAGGCCAGAACATGCCATACTCTTTCTGCTTCTACCACCATTCCAGCGTTTAGAGAAGTAGGGTCAGAGTAGAAGATGCCTTGCCTCTGAATAAGAATGTCATGCGCTTCTTGCACTCTTTTTTCGATACCTGAGTAGTTGTTTCTGCTAAACTCTCTGATAATCTTCTTTAGGGCAATCAGCTTATGAGAAATTCTGAACATATCCGATCCCACAAAGTTAAAAGAGAACCAGTGAAACCCAATGAGAAGGAGAAAGTCCTGATTTTGTAGGAGAAAAGTATAAAATTTGAAGGACTTTTTCTGCTTAGGAGCACCAATAGCAAGGTTTACAGTAGCACAAGCATGATCCGAGAAGTCCGGTTCACTGAAGAGACCAAAAGACAAAGGAAAACTCACAGCCCAGGCATCATTTACTAGTACTCTGTCTAGCTTCTTAGCAATGGGATCTGCCTCCCTCTTATTCCACCAAGTAAAAGAACATCCTCTGAAAGTAAGGTCCTGGAGAGCTGCACTAGCAAGACAGTCCCTGAAGTCCTTAGTAGCTTTGTTAACCCTGAAGCCATCCGATTTCGAGTGCTCATTTGGATTCAGTGTCTGGTTAAAATCGCCAAGAACTGTCCAAGCTTTGCCAGCCACAGCCTGCGACGTAGAAACACTGATCAACTCATCCCAAAGCAAACTCCTAACCTCTTCAATATTAGAGGCATACACAAAAGAAACCACCATTGGAAAAACTGCGTTAGGTAAAACCACTTCACAAGTAACCATTTGTAAGGATTTAGAGATAATGGAGACTTTGACACAGGGGTCCCAGAGGATCCATATCTTGCCTAGATCCGAGTACTCATAGTTGTCTTCAAAAAGCCAGCCAGGCATAAGGGAATTGATGAACTTATCTCTCTTTGGCGGCTGCACATGAGTTTCAATTAGACTACCAAAAATGGGCTTATTTCTTCGAAGCCACTTCTTAAATCCGGTACGATGAGATAGCTTATTAAAGCCTCGGACATTCCAACAAAAAATATCTACACACATTGAAGATATCAGATTTTGAGGCCATTGCCTCGTTCACCTCTGCGATGCTTTTTCGACACCACTTCTGTGAACCCAAACTCATAATGATCGTCCTCTTGGTACCCACCATTGTCGCTAGAAAGCGTGTCTGAAGAATCTGGCTCAGCTTCAGAAGAGCACGCAAAAGCAGACGCGGAGGCAGCCTTTGAATTGCTAGACTCTCCAGCTAACTTTTTACCTGTTAGCTTTGACTCAGAAATAGCCAAGACTCCTGATTCTAACTGAGCAGTGATGACCTGAGGGGATACCGTTGGTTGAAAAACAGGAACAGCCTCTTGCACTGGCTTAACACGATAAACCATCTGTTTCTTTTTCTTTGCTCTAGGACACTTCTGCAGGGAGTGAGCAGTAGAATTACAACCCGTACATGAGACCGGAGCCAACTTGCAATGTTTCACACTGTGACCAATTTCCTTGCAATGCCCACACACGGGTGGCATCCAAGGGCTAGAGACAAGAACTCTCTTAATCTCCCCAGATTGGAACTTGACATTGACCGCCTCAGGCAGCGGCTTACGAGGATCAATGATGGTAAAAACTTTCGCAACCTCGAGGTTTGCCTTACTTGCTGTCAAAGGATGAAGACATTTAGGATCTCCTACTAGCCCCGCAATATGCTCCAGACCATCTTCATTGAAGAATTGCAGAGGAACATTCCTTAGCTCAAGCCAGATTGGAGCCGATGACAATTCTGGCTTAACAGGTACAAAACCAGGTTTCCAATTAGCGACAAACATCGTTTGTCCTTCAATGCTCCACAACCTTTGATTTAAGACTCTTGATCGGGTTTGATAGTTTGGAATTTTGAAGAGGAAGGCATTCCCTTCTAACTTCGAAACGGTGATATCCCTGAAGCGGCGACTCCATATACCATTGACGATAGTATGGATTGTTCCTTGGGAAGGAGGATCAGAATAAAATTGGCCAATGATAAATGAATCCCAAGATTTCTGATGCTTCTCAATGACAGTGTTAGGAATCTCAACACAAGATTCCCCAGAAGGTAATGTGAAAGGAACACCCTTTTTAGAGAGTGGTTTAGATGATCCTTTGAACAAATTCAACCAACTATCATCAGCAGATTTTGAAGAGATAGGTGCAGGGACTCCCGAGACGCAACTTGATGCTCCGGGTCCGATTTCCTTTGAAGCTTTTGCTGGGTCCGTTGTCTTCACAACTTTCGCAGATGGGATGGCAATAGCGTCACCAGACTGGAGCTTGCCGATCTTTTGACTTTCTAGTGGTGGAACATGGAGCTCGAGAGATCCGGAGCTAACTGTAGCAACTTGCGATTTCAGATCTGAAGGAATCGGGATCTGAGTCACACAAGGGTTTTGTAGGTTATAAGGGTTTTTATAGGTTAATACGTTTTTACAAGGGTTTTATGATGGTTTTAAAAGAGGTTAACAAGTGTTTTTAAAGTGTTTTACAAGGCTTTTTGTAGGTTAAAAGGTTTTTACAAGAGTTTAATTTATAAGGTTTTACAAGGTTTTTTAAAGTTTTTTAAAGGGTTTTACAAGGGTTTTTGTAGGTTAAAAGGTTTTTACAAGAGTTTATATAGGTTAATACAAGTGTTTTATAAGGGTTTTACAAGGCTTTAAAAGATTTATGATGTTATTTCTATAAGGAGGTTTTAAGGTTTTTACAATGGTTTTTAAAGTGTTTTACAAGGCTTTTTGTAGGGTTTTAAAAAGATTTTATATAGATCTTACAAGTGTAACAAGGTTTTTTAAAGTTTTTTAAAGGTTTCTCCAAGAATAAACGTAAAAAAGGTTTTATAACAAGTTATGAAAGTTTTTCAATAATATTTTTTAAAAAAGTCACAAAATACTTAATATGTTATGTAATAAAATAAAGTAAAAACTATATTGGAGCCACACAACTACTTTTGTTGTGTCCATTTTGACCACACCGACGACATTTGTAACACCAAAAATATATTTTTAAAAATATATTTAAAAATATATTTAAAGTTTTTTAAAGGGTTTTACAAGGGTTTTTATAGATTTAATACGTTTTTACAAGGGTTTTATGATGGTTTTAATAGAGATTAACAA